TTGTATCCAGTGGACATGTTGCTTTAACAAATATTTTCACAATAATCTTCCCAAAGTAAAATGAATTTCAAAAGCAAGTCAGAATGAGCTAGCTTGAGTTCTCTGCAGTAATGACCTTGTCACTCCATCTTTGCTTGGTGGAGGTGCTCCAGAGCAAGTTCAGAGACAGATAGGGTGGCTCTGTGGCACACTTGCTTCATATGTGTGTGGTCCTGGGTTCAATTGCCAGCATCACAAAAATAACAATAAATACATAAAGAGCCCAGGTAATCTCAACCCATTGAATAATCAGCAATGATAATGTTTTAAAAGTATATTGCTTGAAAAATGGATTCAACTGAGGTTCTCCTCTGAGTTCAATACACAACATCAGGAGCAATAAAGAGGTGAGAGATACTTCTGAACTGTAGGCAAGCCCTCAATTTGACCAGACATGTGCAAATGCGCACACACACACACACACACACGCATGCACACCATGCACATCCAGAGCTGACGTTAGAGCACATCTACCCAAGTAAAGGAGTGAACACAGATGAGTGACAGACAGCGTGTGTCCTGCGATATGGAGAAGTAAGTGGAATGGTGCAGACAGTGTAACTTTGCAAGGTGGTTAACTCACTTTCAGGATGTACTTGACATGCTGAAAAAAAATCACATCATGAAATAAAGTGAGGTTGCTCACCTGCAGGTCTTTAAAGCAATACACAGATAAGTCATGGACCATGTAAACATGTTAGCCTGTGTGCACATACACACACACATGCACATGTGCATACACACACAGAGGTAGCATAGCTGGGACATGCGTACATAGTGTACATCGTTATACACTTTCTTCTACGTGTACCTGTTTACCTTTCTTTCTCTGCATCCAGACCGTAAGCTGTGTGTTTTGGTAACAAGGATTTTATCTTCTCCAGTATTCTTAGCCCCTAGTTCAGGGCACGTCTCCACTGTACAACAGCCCACTCTGAAATACTCAGACTGTTCTGATGTTTAATAGAACATAGATGTTGAAGGATCAAAAGCTTGTTGATAGAAAGAATGGTTTTGGTAGAAGACGCTGCTTTGTGCTGCCCAACGCTCACTGATAGGAAAGATGAAGTAACTGCAAAGACAGCTTTACAGAAGACTTAGTTGTGCCTTCTTAGAGAGATTTACCTTCCAGCCTGAGGGTCAAATCCAAAGTAGTGGTCACTGCACTGGTCACAGCGGTGTCCAGCGATGGAGGCATCCCGGCAAAGGCACTGCCCAGTGAGGCCATCACAGATGTGTCCTGCTGCTCCTGCTGCGTGGCACAAACATGGCAGGCAGCCTGTGGCATTGTGCGGAGCAATGTAAAAACCTGGAAATAAAGAGATGAGAGAAGTTTCTACACATCTGGTTCAGTCTTCTCACAAACGATGGTCTGATTCTGTGGGAAGACAGCGCACACTGCATCGCACTACCTCATCCCAGGACTACTGTGGCTCTATTTGCTCTCACTGACCTTGTCAGTCGGGACCAAAGAAAGGCTAGGATGCTGTTCACGTGGCCCTTCCTAACCTTTGCGTGAACAACGCTGCATCTCGTCGGCTGCTGATCAGAGACATCCGTGACACGGAAGCCAGGCGGGACGCAGGAGCCTTACCTGTGAGCTTGACAAGGCCTGTTCTTGTAAAAATATGTCTCCTATAATAGTAATTGTTTATACTATCAGATTATTGCCATCTGAAATTCAAGTTTAACCAAGTGCCCTATATTTTGTTAAAATTTGCAACACCGGACTCCTCCACTTCCTCCTCTCTACACTCGGCCAATTTCAAAGTCCTGCGGATATCGTGCCCTGAGACTTCCCATCCAGCAGCTCTCCACCGCTGCAGCCACCTTGCTACTTGATGCCCCCACTGACCTTTTCATCGCTAATGCCAGCATGTGTCAGCACCTGCGTAGGAACTTACATTCTTTGTCACATTTAGTTCTCAAAATGTTGTAATGCATGCAGGTGTTATTACTATTGCTGTTGTTGCTTCTGTTACATATATTAGAAAGCTGAAGGTTAGAGAAGTTAACAAACTTTCCTAAGATGACAGAGTTAAAAAACGCAGACCCCGGTTCACACTCAGACTGCTCATCCCAGCAGCCCCATATCCAAAGCGGTCCTCTGGCCCCTCTGTTGTATTCTTCACAGTAGAGTTGGAACTTCTCTAAAGGGGAGTTTGATTGCTTGGTTCCTTTATTTAAACTTATTTGATGACTTCCAGTTCACTTTAGGAAAACAAAGCCAGCACAGCCCCCAACCCTAAATCAGGTCCCATACGCTGCTGGATCGCCCATCTCACCCCCACCGGGCAGCTGCAGGCGGGTCTCTTCCTGTTCTCCGACACCCTGGCTTTTCAGGGAGCCGCTCTCGCTCTGCAGTGCTGTCCACCCATCTTTGCTGCCTCCTCACTCCTGCAAGAGCTAGGTCTTCAGACTGTGAGCTCCCCTTGGGCAAGTTTGGGTGAGCCGGACACAGTTCACAGACCCTGTTCATTTCCTCGAACACTTGTGAAGTTAACACTGATCTCGCTTCCACCAGCGTATAACCTCCAGAGACAGGACCCACAGCTGCAGAAGTCACCCATGTCCCCAACTCCCGTGCACTACTGACACATCGTGTGCACTCCATCATCACTGAAGAACGACTGAAAACTGACCACATTGTTCAATAGGCAGTGAGCCGCATAACCGCTATATTTAACATACCCAATTCAGAGGTTTTAGGTTATTTCCAAAACCTGTATTTTTTCCTATAGGAAAAAGAAAGAAAGAAAACAAGTGATTCATACATGTATCTTAGTTCCTTAAAAGGTCTTTTACATAGAAAGTGGGTGTCACAAATTATAAAACGAGAAACACATCAGACACTGGAATAACGGAGCAGGTACACACAAAGAGGGAGGTCCCTTGGTTGTGTGTGATGTATGGACGTGTGTGTATATTTACACAAATATATGTGCACACATACATAGATACATACAAGAAAGCATAAAATGATCTGTGGAACTTCATTAAAGAAGTGCAAGAAAGATTGCAGAAGGGATCTATGAGCAGAACTGCGGCAAATGAAAAATTAATTGTACAGATGAATCACTTAATTACCACAATTATTAATTTAAGACATAAAAATACTAGTCACATGGAGGAGAAAGGGCAGAACAATGAATACTTTCTGTGTCGTCTATGATACGGGGAAAGACGGAGTGAACAGGAAAACTCGAATTTGCAAACCGAAGTGCCTGGGCTCCAGGAGAGAGCGCTCCGCTCCTCCATGTTTGCGGGCACTTGTTCCTTCTCCTTCCCGCTGGCCTTGAGCACTCTCCCCCAGACAGCTGCAAGAGCCGTGGAGGGCACTGGGCTCAGCAGGGGAAGGGAGGGGCTCGGACCCGGGCCTTTGGCCGGACCGGACCAACACGATCGTCTTTATAGTAATTCATTGTCTGCTTCTGTTACCATGGTGTCTCGGTTCATGGATTGAATTCCTTCACAGTTCTGGTCACAAGCCAAGTTGGGTGAGACTCGCATCAATTGTAACGGTTGCTTCAGTATTGACCTGATGGAGAATCGGATCCAGCTCTTGTCCAACTCGGTTTGCCACCAGAGTCACGGGGAGACTTAGCTTCATGAACTGAGGCAACACTGTTTGCTTCTTGGCGTCCCTTGCAGCAATTCATCATATAGGAATTTCTGTGAGATATATATACCCACTCACACACACACACACACATATATAATTTTGCCAAAAACAGACCATGGCCAGGCCAATTAATGGATATTCTCATACTTGATTCATCACGGATCCATGACACAAGTTTAGAACGCTTCCTTGGATTGAAGACAACTGTGGCCGCGGCACTTTGACTCTTTGGTAGGCTCCTTAAATCCATGGTGATGGCCCCATGAATGTACTAACAGCTCTCCAATTTGGATAAATTACCCATTAGCATAGATACTTAGAAGTAGAATTAATTTGGACTTTACTGAGAGAGCTTCAGGCCACAGAGAATTCTGGACCAATTAAGGATAATTTCTACAAGAAATGATTTATTTATAAATCTGTAAATACAAGAGGGTAGTTTGGGGGGCTGAAGATTGGTTAGAATGCTGCATGCTATAGGATGGAAATCAGAAATAGAAGGAAAGAATCAAAGTGTGAGAGCAGGCAGGGGTGCACTTCGGGGAAAGGCTCAGTTGGAATCAGCCTGGGGTTAATGCCCTCCTCTTCAGAGGAGCATGATTACAAAGGTTAATCCCACCAGTATTTTAGTTGTCCTATTTTTAAGCAGTCCTAATTAAGATGACTCAGGTAACTTCCTGCTCAAAGATTCCTTCGTGCCGTACCTGAATGTCTCTAATTCTAGACCATTACCTCTCCTTTTATTACTTCCAACTATAGAAAACAACACTTTTCCCTTCCCTCCTGCTTAAACTTCAACTCCTGAGTGTGGCTTTAAGACAGCTGACCTTAATTTCTTCTTAAACTCCACACACTTGTGC